AAATGGAATTGATAGAAACTGCAAAACACAGCTTTTACAGCATACCTCTAACAGTTTCAAGGTATTTTACATCGGTATTGAGCTGTTGCTTGAAATTTCAAAACGAAAGCCGATAGGCCTTCAGTACATCAAAAGGGTTACTTCGTACATTCAGTGAAGTAAAACAAGGGGGGTCCGTGCAAAAGATGGGTTGGCTATCCGACTTCGGACCTTTCATTGATAGAACTTCTTTAGGAAAACAACATTCCATGGATATTGATGCGGAGTTCCATCAGGATGAGCGATTCGGTAGGCTCCATGAGGTAGGACTTCAATGACTTGAAAAGGTCCTTCCCACCTCGGTTTGAGTGGGCCGGGGTCCGGCCCCATTATGCGTTTAAGGAACAAATCTCCAACTCGGAACGAACGAGGTTTAAGCGGCATTTCTGAGGTCAGCACGGGGGCGATGTTCGTCAAGCAGGTCCAAATTAGCTTTCAGGTTTTCCGAGTTGGACTCCTCGGTAAAATGTTGAACTCGGTATGTCGGTTCGCCGAGCTCGACTGGAACCACGGCTTCTGAGCCGTAGGTTAAGGAAAACGGGGTCTCGCCGGTAGAAGTTCGAGTTGCAGTCCGGTAGGCCCATAGGACGTGTGGCAACTCTTCAGGCCAAGCTCCTTTGGCGGCGTCAAGTCGGACTTTGAGGCCGTTTTTTATGAGCTTGTTCACAGCTTCAACTTACCCGTTGGATTGCGGGTGATAAGGCGAAGAGAAAAAGTGCTTGATATTATATTCTTCGCACAGGGATTCAAATCGCTTGCCTTCGAATTGTCTCCCGTTATCGGTAATGATGGAGTTCGGTACTCCGAAGCGGCAGATGATTGATTTCCATATGAAGTCAACGACTTTTTGCTCAGTTATCGTGACTAACGGTTCGACTTCGGCCCACTTAGTGAAATAATCAATGGCTACAATGGCAAATCGGACGCCTCCTTTCCCGGTCGGCAGGGGACCTATGAGATCGATTCCCCATTTGGCAAAAGGCCATGGACTGTAGATTGATTTGAGCTCCTCGGGAGACTGGTGGATGTTGGGTGCGAACATTTGGCATTTCGGACACTTACGAACCCATGCAGCGGCGTCGGTTTTTAAGGTCGGCCAATAATAACCTTGTCGCAAAACTTTGTAAGATAAGGCCTGAGAACAGGGGTGACTTCCGCAAATTCCTTCATGGACTTCTTCAAGAATATATCGTGAATCAGATTCATTCACGCATTTTAAAAGTGGGACGGAATATCCCCTCTTAAACAAAGTTCCATTGTCCAGTGTGTACCGAGCTGCTCGAATCCAAAGTGACCGAGCTTCTTTTGGATCCGGGGGCAAGGCCCCAGTTTCTAAATAGTGGATAATAGGATCCATCCAAGTTGGCGGCCTTTGTGATGTTACCGGATCGATAGCCGCGACTTCGGTAAATGCGGTCGACGGCCGTTCTTGTTGTCCGACTTGGACATACTCATGTTCTCCATTCCGGTACTCGAGGCAAACCGAGACAAAGCGTCTGCTTGGACATTAAGATTTCGGGGAATATGTTCAATGTCAACGGAGAACTTTGATAATTTTTGCTTTGCCAAAGAGAGATACGGTGTCAGCCGAGGTTCTTTGACTTCATACGAACCGTTAATTTGGTTGACAAGGAGTTGGGAGTCTGAGAAGACTTTGAGGTGCTTTACGTTCATTGATTCAGCCGAATTTAGTCCGGATAGCAAGTCTTCGTATTCGTCTTCATTGTTTGTTGCTGGGAAAAAAAAACTTCACTGAGTGACAGAATAATCGGTTTTCTGGGTCCGCTAGAACTATTCCTGCACCTGCTCGGTTGACTGTTGAGGAATCGTCGATATAAAGGACCCACGGTTGATCGTCATGGTGAACTGTTATTGCAGGAGTGAATTCGGCAATGAAGTCAGATAAGGCTTGTGCCTTAATCGCGGTCCTCGGTTGGTAGTGGATGTCAAATTATCCAAGTTCAATCACCCATTTGATCATGCGTCCTGAGGTGTCAGGTCGGTGCACGACTTGGCGCAACGGATACGAAGTGCGGACGGTTATAGAATGCTCTTGGAAATAAGGTCGCAATTTCCGAGCAGCGATGACAAGCGCAAACGCCAATTTTTCCATAGAAGGGTAGCGCAGTTCGGCGTCGTGTAGGGCTTTGCTAACGTAATAAACAGACGATTGTAGCGTTCCTTCTTCACGTACCAAAACAGCGCTGATCGCATAATCGCTGACTCCGAGGTATAAAAACAACATTTCCTCGGGTCTTGGTTTTTGTAACGTTGGTGGAGAGGCAGGTGTCTCCTTGATGCTGATGAAAGCTTTTTGACATTCTTCGGTCCATTCAAAGCACTTTCCTTTTTTGATTGCTTCGAAGAAAGGTTTGCAACGGTCTGTGGATTTGGAGATGAACCGGTTGAGAGCAGCAAGTCGGCCAGTTAGGGCCTGAACACCCTTAACCGAAGTCGGGGGAGTTAGGTCTTGAATGGCTTTTATCTTGGCCGGGTTGGCTTCAATTCCGCGCTGGCTGACCATATAGCCCAGGAACTTTCCTGATTTAACTCCGAAGGTGCATTTCTTGGGATTTAAGACCATGGAGTACGATCGGAGAACATCAAACATATCTTGGAGGTGTGTTATATGGTCAGAAGCGTGCACCGACTTGACGAGCATGTCGTCGACGTAAACTTCCATAGTACGACCAATCATCGTGGCAAACATTTTGTTGACAAGGCGTTGATAAGTGGCTCCGGCGTTTTTTAACCCAAACGACATCATGGTATAGCAGTACAAGCCTCGTGCTGAATAAAACAAAGTGTGTTCGGAGTCCTCGGGATCCATAAGAATTTGATTATAACCGGAGTAAGCATCCATAAAACTCATTGATTCATGTCCCGATGTGGCGTCAACCATGTAATCTATGTGTGGGAGTGGGTAACTGTCCTTGGGACACGCCTTGTTCAAGTCGGAAAAATCTATACACAGTCTCCACAGACCATTGCTCTTTTTGACAAGAACGGGGTTTGAGACCCATGTCGGATATTTGGCCTCTTTGATGAATTTGTTATCGATGAGTTTCTTAACTTCCTCTTCCAATGCTTTCTGGCGATCTGGCCCCAGCTTTCTTCGTTTCTGAACAACAGGTTGGACGGTTCGATCGAGGTTTAACTTGTGACTAGCGACACCGGGGTCGATGCCCTTCATATGTTCGTGTTTCCATGCAAAAACATCAGAATTGCATTTAAGGAATGAGATAAGTTCTGACCGGAGAGGTTCTTGCAGATGACTCCCGATGCGCAATGATTTGTGGAAGATTGGTTCATCGATGTATATTAATTCTGCTTCTTCTCCAGGTTCGGCTCGATCACTTCGGCTTTTATCTTTAAATTGGGCCCTTGGGTCCAACTCATCTTCTTCAAGGATAGGTTCCTTTCCATACCGGTGACCCCGATCTTCGGTTAAAGGATCCGAGGTGGGAAAAGCATCGACGTTGTGGTTTGGCTCTCCGGACACCGTGTTGTCCGAGACGTTTCGTAGTGGAGAATTTTTACCATTGCCCGTCGAGGTGGAATGGACTCCGTTGGATGTGGGTGGTATGAATGTGATAAGTTCTCGAGCTTCTCTCTGGTCTCCGAAGTGCGTCCCTTCTCCTCGTGTAGTCGGGAACTTTAGTGCGTAGTGAAAGATCGAAACCGCAGCTCGAAGTTTATACAATGCTGTTCTGCCGATGATGGCATTGTACTCATTGTTAATATCCAGAATCTTGAAAGTTTCCATGACGAGCTTAGTGACGTTCTCCGAAGTGCCGAATCTGACAGGTAAAGTGATCTCGCCGATAGGCTTCGAAATACTTCCGTTGAACCCTTGTATCTGATCACTGCAAGGTCGGATGTCGGCGGGATCAAGACCCATTTTGTCAAAAGCTTTTAACATCAAAATGCTCGAATAGGCCCCAATATCTACCATAACGCGATGAACAGGAATTCCACATATAGGGACAGTTATAACAAGTGCATCAGAATGAGGGTGTGCGAAGTGATTAGCATCCTCTATATTAAAGGTTATGGGGCAGTTCCGATTGTTGAGGATGTCTCTCGAATCAGCAGTGTACACTTGTTTGCCGGCGTTGTGCATTTGTCGGGCATAGGCTTTGATTTGCCGACGGGACATTGTACTCCGGGAGTTATTGGTGCTAACACGATGGACGGTGATTTGCATCGGTCCAGGATATCGATCTCGTTTACGTCCTCGGGCAGTTCCAGCAAAGTCTGAATTGGGCGTTTCCGAGGTGAACATAAATACTTCCATGTCTCCTTGTCGGATGCGTTTTGGCATGGCGCCTTGGTCCTCCTCGTCATCTTCATCATAAGATTCAATCTGACGCCCTGGACCTCGTCTCTGGGGGTCGGTGTTGCGATAGAACTTTCTGAGCTGCGGATGACCGATTAAACGTAACAGGGCAGCCAACAAACTTAAACATTCATCAGTATTGTGCCCCGGCGATTTATGATAGTCACAATACCGGGACTTATCCAATTTTTCTTCAGGCATCCGAAGTGGTTTGGGGTCCGGTAGAATGCCTTTTCCTTTGATCTCTTCGTATATAGTAGTTGCCCCTGCGGAGTATACGGTTTGATAACCGTACTTCACATCGGTAGCATACTGTTTTCGGGCTGCTCGAACTTCAGGGTCATTGGGGTCTCCTCGGGGAGGTCCCCTGAACTGAGCCTTACTTTGCTTTTCGAAAAATTTATTCTTCTTTTTCTCGTCGGTCCCCGCCTTATAAGACTTCGGGTTAAAGTTAAAATCGGGGACCGACATGGCTTCTTCAGCTATGATGTGTTGCTGAGCTCGAGCAAGAAAGACTTTCATCATCATTTTGAGTTACATTTGCGAGAGACTCTTTTGGAATTAGGCAGACTTGAGCCCCGATGAAATGAGATCGGAAAGCCGACCTTAGTTGTTGCCACTTCTAAATTGAGTGAGGAGGTAGAGAATGGTACCATTTTTGGGCCCGAGGCCCCAGCGTGAGAGAAAACATACGACACCGAAGTGCGTCTGAGGCCCCATGCAGATCCATCCACGAAGTGTAATGACCGAGGTGCGAGTCAGGGTCTGAAGTTCCATCGTATAGCCCGATCTGGGAGACTTTGACTTTCCCAGGCACGGGTTTCGAAGTAAGCTCTGGCGTGAGAGGGGAGTCAGTTTCTAGATATACTTGCGCCGATGTTGAAGCCCGCCGAAGTGGGTCTTCGGGTGCCCGTTGCCGACTTTCCAATTCGGCAACTCTCCGTCGCAATGTTTCAAGTTCGGATGACTCTTGACGAGCCCGATTTCGTTCTATGTGCTGCCGAAGGTCGGTCTGCACTGGATTGGAGGGGTTTCGGTGTTGTGCATGAGGCGGTGACCATCGTGAATGACCAGACTGGCTTTCGGCGGTTTCTTCATGAGGAAGTATAGGAGGATTGCGCCCGACATCGGTGCGACGTGTGGTTTGTTCTGGAGGTGGTTGCGACGCTCTATCACGAGGTTGAGAGGTTGCGTGAGACGTAGTTCTTCCGCCGTCTCGCCGCACCGGTGGATTCTGC